AGTTGACTTGCTCAGCCCTTAAAGCCCCCTCAGGAAAGGGGGAGGGGGGCACAGGAAGGGCAGGTGCTGGGACTTGCAGGGGATGGGGAGTGTGCATGTTAGCAGATGCCTAGACATGGGGGAACGTGTGTGGGGACATTTCTCCTCGGCCCAGACCCTGACCTCCTGGAAGTAGATGAATAGAAGCTTTGTGCTACTGCTAATGGAACAGAGGAGTGTAAACCTGGAGGCTAAACTCTGCCCCAGGGTCCACTTCTGAGTAGGAAGGAGGGAAAGTGAGATGGACACCATAGGGGGAAAAGCAGGATTACCATGTAGGGTATGTTGTGAGGGCCCAGGGCCCTGAGACTGAGGGTCTCAGAGGAGCTGGCTGCTGACTCAACTCATTGCCTAAGGAAAGCTGAGCAGCTTCAACTCCTTGTAACCCTGCCTGTCCCTGGTGCCCAGGTAGAATGGAGCCTGTCCTGGGAAAGTTTGTCCTTCCACCTTCATTTTGCTGTATAAATGTGTAGCTTGCAAGCAGGCACAGCAAGCTGTTTACCCCCGAGGGGACATGTGTGCTGGGCTGGAGAGCTTTCCCAGTGGCGCTTAGCAAAGGCAGCTTTGCCTTGGCCTTAGAATCAAGGGAGGGGGGCATGACTTCCCACAGTGAGGAAGGATGGCCAGTCGGGAGTTCATGGGAAGCTTGGTGAGACTCTGGCCAGGACATAGCCAGGATGCACAAGCTTCTCCATTTGCATCGTCCCTTCCCAACGCATCTTGTTCTTTGCCCGAGCAGTGCCTATCCCTGTGTTTTCCCCATGCCCCCATAAGTGCCCTCCACCACTTTGCTTGTGGGTCCCAGCCCCACAATTTCTTGTCCCTGTCTCTGTGATTGGCAGCAGGAAAGGCCAGTGCACCTGGAGCTGCATGTGGAGAGACACCAGGTCCCAGAACCGTAATAGCAGAGTCTTTGGGGCAGCTACACCTGCAAGATTGCAGTGATTTCTGGGTACCACATGGAAAGGGATCTGAGCAGAGCAAGAAAAAATGCCAGGAGTCTGGAGGGAAAGCCCAGAGGGATAAAGTGAGATGGGCCAAGTCTTCAAACCTCTGACCAGCGTGTCCCCCAAGGGAGGGCAAGAGGTTAGTTAGGGGGAAAGGCAGGAGTAACTTGGAGGAAACTGATGATGAGAAAATGCAGCCTCTCTCAGAAATAACTTTCTGTCAGTGAGACATACTGAGCTTGGGCATTCTCTTCCAAGGGAAGGGGTGTCCTTGGCACTTAGCTCTGGTCCCAGGATTCGGTGTGTTTTTTCCCAAGAGGAGTGAGTAGTGTCAGGCAGCTGGTAGCAGCATGGGGAAGGCCCAGCATGAGAGCTGGGATTAACCTCCTTGCGGACTTCCACTCTATCTGCCAGCAAAGCCTCAGCCTGAGGTCTGCTGGATGGAGCAGCTGCTGAGGGCCTCCAAGTGGGGAATGTCTGAGGCTGCCTGCACTGCCAGCAAAGTAAGGCCTGGATTAGCCCTGCTCGTGGGACATGCTGGTACTAAACCCTGGAGAATGCAGATTAGGGGCATGGCACAGGCAGGCACAGCTTTCCAGTAGCCTGTGAGGGAGCAGGCTAAAACAATGGTAATCATTTCCTCTATTCCCCAGGGTTCCCATAGCAACTTGCATGCCTATGTGTCCACTAAAATGCAGCCACCTCTGGGGTGGAGGACAGCAGTACCTGATGCAGAGCACCCAGCACGAGTGAAGGACCAGGCCAACAATAAGCTACTAGGAAGCTTGTTTCTGACCTTAGAGAGGATTCATGAGTAGAGGGCAGCTTCTGCATCTGACCCCTATCCTCAGCCTCTGCAAGCAGAGAATGTGATGGCACAGGACCCATCTGTGAGCCTGACCCTTTTGCTTCACTGTAGGTAATTGGGTAGTGCCTCCTGAAATGGAACAATGCTGGGCCCAGGCCAGGGGCACCCTGGTGAGCTGTGCCCTGGGTGTAGACGGCAGCAGTTTTGAAAGCAAAGATCATTCTAGGGGGCAGACAGAGTCATGTGAACTCCATGCCATCGGGAGCTGCTTTTCAGCTCCCCTCTCAGATTGCCAGTGGTAAAGATGGGTCTGTCCCTGTGTATATCTTCCCCCGTCCCCTAGTTCTGTACCCCACAGGAGGCAGGCTGGGTTTATGAATTCTAGTACGTGGAATATCATAGCCATTAGGATCTCCTGTATTAGTCATAAGGATCCAGCATCATCACCGGAGCACTTCACACTCTTACCTGTATATTTCCTCACCAGCATAACCCTATGCCCACGCAGAATTCAACAAAAAAGCTATGCAAACATTTCAAAAGTAAACACCAATAAAGGCAATAGATTCCAAAGAGCTTGTTAACTTCCTATTATAGTGCCTCTGAATACATAACACTCCCAATTACCTGGCTTAGCTGCAGAAATGTTAATGTTAAATGCAAACATACAAGCCCCAGTCAGCCTAAGTGCCAGGCCAGGTCATGCTACAGTCTTTTCAGGGGCTCGGGGTGCTTTTTGATGGCTTTAGAAATGCTTGCTGGAGTTTGGCCGATACCTGGCTGAGAAAAGCAGTGAATCTTCCTTGCCCCTTGACTCCCACTATGAAGTGGGAGAGAAATCAGAATCTAACGGACAGAGTTCAGAGGCTGACATGCCAGAGCCTGTGTAATTGGGAGAGAGGCAGTGAAACATGGTGGGTGGGGTGGTAGGTGGTGCTGGGTTGGGTGAAAGCCATTTCAGTGGTGGAAAAGACTAGCAAAAGGAGGGGAAAAGCTCCCTTTCTACCACAGGCCTTTCTGCTTCTTGAGCAGAAAACCTTTCTACTTGAACACTTGAGCCCACTAAGTGCAGACTTAAAGGGACAGGGGTAATATCCCCAGCAGGAGAAATGTAGGAGTAAAACAGACTAAGCTTGGAGTCTCCATTCAGTACAATACCTACTTCACAAATCATCTAAAACCTTCTTTTTAGGCCCTGGGAAACCATCCTCCTAGGCCTTCTCCTCTAATGCCCTTCCCCCTTACAAGACCTATCCAGAGGTAACTGTGCTCTCAGCTAGCTCCCCACTAAGTGCAGTGGAAAGCTCATGCTGGCTATATCCTGGAGTCCTGAGGGTAGACTGGCTGTGAACTCTCCTGAGGCCCAATGGAAGTGTGCCAAGCCACTGTGCTCGGGCAGACACGTGTCACCCGGCGTTCCTTCCTTTCTCAGCTTTCAGCAACGGACACTTCATGGTCTGGTTGAGTCAAATGGAACTTTAATGAGGCATTTACAAGATTCTCATGCCAGTTGTTTCCTTTGTTCGTTCCTTTCTTGGTGACGGTAGGGAGAGGAACAGTCCTCTCCTGGGCATTAGGAAAGTTGCTCAGGAGAAAGTTTTATTCACAGATCAATTAATTATCTTCATGGCCTTCATTGCCCTGGGCTCTCTGCCCAACCACCTGAAGCTAGGAGAGTGGGGATGGGGGCAAAGGTGCTGTGATGTCTTCTCTCTTAGTTATATGGTGAGTTATGTCCTCCCATTCACAAAGGGACGGAGACATGTATCAGCATCTACAACACCCACACACACAATTCCTTGACCACTGCACAGCCTTTAACCCTGTGTGCATTTCCACCCCCTCACCTGCATCTTGCCAGAACCAGTCCCAATCTCTCCTCCGCACTGCTAGAGCCAGGGCCCTGAAAGTGCTCCCTTGCCTACCCTGGCTGCCTTGTGGCATGGTGCCTGCACCATCCCCAGCAGTTCAGCTCCTTTCACAAAAGGGAAGCAGAGGAAATGAATTGAAGTCAATGACCATCCTGGAGACATTCTTCTGCCAGCAGGGAGCTCACAGCTGGCATGGCAGCCACTGCTCCCTACAAATGTTGACTCTGGCCATGACAGAGCATGCTCTGAGCATGGCCGGGAAAGATTCCTGTTATGACAGACCTCTTACCACTGAAAGTAAGGCCAGCAAAAGGCCAGGCCACTGGACCCAGGAATCCCGGTCAATTATTTCTTCTCCCCTTTCCTTTCTGAACTAAGTGTTGTCCTCAATAGCACATGCTGCTCCTAAAGTCCTAGCTGTGGGACCTCCACTCTATTCCCCTGCCCTTTGACCCAGCATTGAACCCATCAGTTAGTTACTGTTTATAAAGTGCTAAATCTCTTCTGCCAGCATTATCCCTGTTTATTTTTCAGCAGGGATCTCTATTTTCCCTGGGTCACTTTCAAGGAAGTTCTAAAAGTGTTCTCTGTGCCTGGGAAAACAGGCACTTTCCTTCTCACCTGGGACCACTCTCCACCCTTGTATCATCATCATCATCATCAACAACAGACATTATTTCCTTCCATCTTTCCCTGATGGTCCAGTGCAGAGTGGCTTAGTTTCTGTAGGCTAGCTCTGCACCAATCTACTATATCATCTACCCATTCTCTATGGGGTCTGCCTCTCCTATTCGGACCATCCATTATGCCAAATACTAGGATCTTAACTTTTTGCTCATCATTCATTCTGCAGATATACCCGAATAGCTGTAACTTCCATTGTATAACCTTCCGCCGTAGGTTCTCTTTCGGCCGTATCTTCCTATATAATTCCTCGTGGTGACCTTCTGAATCCATCCTATTCTCAGGATCTTTCTATAACAACTCCTTTTGAATGCCAATATCCTTCTCTTCGAATCTTTCCTTATCACCCATGTCTCACATCTGTACAACATGCTGCTAAATACACGTTTTCAAGATGCTCAGCTTCATTCCTAAGCTAATCACTTTACTTTTCCAGATCTTATCCATCGCCTTCAAACTCGCTCTTGCTTTCGCTATTCTAGTCGCTATTTCCTTCTTGTAGTCTAGATCATATGTCATGTTGCTCCCCAAATACATGAACTTCTCTACGTTCTCTAGTTCAATCCCATCTACACTGATCTTCCTTCCTATTTCCTTATCTCCAAATACCATTGTCTTCATTTTATCGATATTCATAATCGGTCCAAACCACTTCCCTTCCTCATTTAGCACCTGCACTGTTCTCATGAGCTTCTCTTCATCTTCCTCGATGACAACTATATAGCATATCATTAAACCCAGCGTGTCACTCTTTAGCACTGTACTGGGCTGCATTCACCCCTGTCTGTAGCCCAGAGCTCCAGGCTGCTTGAAACCGCCTAGTTGGGCTTCTCTCAGAAGGCATCAGGTAGCCAGTTGTGTCCTGTGGTAACTTCCTGGCTCTTTTCCCATAGTAAAATGCTCCATCTCATTGGTCTCAGGCTTCTGACCAGAGCAGTGTCACCACATGCCCTCCTTTCCCACTGCTCTGCCCCCACTTGCGTCTCAAGCAGGGGATTCACTACCTGTGATTCTTTTCATACACTTCCTTCATACAACCATCCTGCTGGGTTCCCCATTTCCTTATGGAATGGATGTTATGGGATGTAGGGGTCTCTTCTCTCCGCCCTCCCATTGGCATTAGGACAGTCTTCCCAAGCTGTGACAAGACCAGGAACGTCCCTGGCTCTGGGACAGTTGTTCAGTTGGTGTGACGGGGTGGAGCATGCTTGGTGAGTGGGAATGTAAACCTAGTTCAAAGCATTCAGAGGTTAACGTGGGGGCCAGAATGACTGTCAGAAGCAGACGCAGCACGGTGGACAAATAAGTTACAGATTAAGCAGAGGCATCCGTTCTGTACGGAGCCTAAACCTGCAACTCTACTGGCTTCCCTAATGCTGGTCCCGCGTTCTGGCCTAGATGCATACCTGCTGCCCAGGCCCTGCCTAGTCCTTTCAAAACCCCTCACTGCTTCCTTTATCTGTCAGTTTCGCACCCCCTTTTCTCAGGCATTAGTGGTGGAGTAGCTGGCATCTCGGGAGGTAGAAAAGCCATTCTTTCTGAGATGAGAAACAAAGGCTAATGTAGATGTGTGCTGAGATCTGGGCATTTTGATCGCAGCTCGACGCAGCCTTCCCCTGTAGGTATCCCCCACCAAGAAATACAAGATGGGGTCTATGCAGCTGTTGATGCTGGCCAGGGGCCGTGTTATCTTGTAGGTGAAATTGATGATGTTGAGGGTTCTGCAGTTGGCTTGGAGGAGCCGGGAGGTATAGTACAGTGTCCGTGTGATGTGGAAGGGTAGGAAACAGATGGCAAAGACTGTGATTACAATGATGATCATTTTGATAGAGCGTTTCTTGTAGGAGGGGATGCTCTGGTTGGAGCTGGATAGGCTGGGTTTCCACAGTCTCTTAGTCATCAGGCTGTAGCACACAATGATCACTAAAAAGGGGATGCCGAAGAGGAGGGTCATGATTGAGGAGCTGTAGTGCACGTAGTGGTCAAACTCTTCGGGCTTGGTGGTGTCGTGGCAAAGGGTGTCGTTCCCCCTGATGCTGGTGGTGACAAAGATCAGGTTGGGTATGAGGCAGATGGTGACGACAAACCAGACACCCACGCAGATGAGGCGGGCATGCTTGGTCTTCATCCACCCGAGCGACTGAAGGGGGTGGCAGATCCCCACGTAGCGGTGCACGCTGATGCAGGTGAGGAAGAGAATGCTGCAGTACAGGTTGGCATAGAAGAGGAAGCGCACAATCTTGCAGAGGCCAACCCCAAAGGGCCAGTTGTTGCGGTCAGCATAGTAATAGACCAGCGTGGGGAGGGAAAGTACGTACAGTGTGTCAGAGACGGCTAGATTGAACATGTAAGTGGTGGTGGCATTCCATGGCCTCATCTTACTGATGAACATCCACAAGGCCCAGGAATTGAGCAGCAGCCCCACCACAAAGACAAGCGCATAGGACACTGGCAGCAGGATGAATTTAAACTCCTCATTGAAGACACAGTTCTCTTTGCCCTGGCTGGTGGTATTTGCTGTCAGCAGGGATGCAGGTGTTGGCACCAACAGAGCAACTGGGAACGTCCCCACTGAAGTGGCCATTGCCTGAAGCCAATTTCTGGAAAGGCAATAATAAAAACATCCATTAATTGCTGATCCCAGTCACTGTCAGGTAAGAAGATGCTGGGGGTGGGGGGCGGAAATAGGGTCAGACCTTCCTCTCCCAGGCATTCCAGCAGCTTTGATGATCTTCGCAGGGGGAAGAGGGGTCCAATGCCACCCACCTTTGGCTCTTTACACAGCCAAGAGCATTTGATAACTCCCCTTTCTAAGCTCCCTCAGTGACACAAAGCACATATAAAACCCTACAAATATGCATCAGAAGAAAAGCCTGTTTCTTTCCCCACCCCCAAACTCTAGCAGCTACTCTGATAATCCTACTGTTTCCTTAACAATGAGACCTTTATGAGCCATCGCAGCCCCATGCTCAATGCCAGCACAGCCTCTCGAAAACTGATTCAGACTAATTGGCATGACTTCAAGCATGCTGCAAATCCCAGAGGAGTGATTTACCAAGGAAAGAGTCTCACCTCCAGGTGCATTCTGCTCTGGAGATATCACTAGGGAGCTGCTAAAGGGGCCTCTTGGAGAAGACTTTCTGTGACACTGAACATTGAGAGGGGCCTCAGATTCCCCCTACCTGGAGGCATTCCCAGTTTCAGAACACTGATCTCTGAGGCACACCGAGAAGAGTCATTACAAAACTGAGTCTCATCCCTGTGCATCTGTGAGGGATATGTCCCAGATTGCATATCAACGGCAGGGGCCCAGGAGTTGTATGTGTCTGACAAATGACTCCAGAGGGCAGGGGAAAAGCCATAAAATGGCTCCACTTGGATCTCTGAATATTTACAGTCCAGAGTCCTGATTCTCCCCTGCAGGAGATGAGTAACTTGCATCTACCGACAATCTTTAATTAAAGATCTGTGGCACCTTATAGACTAACTGAAGTGTAGGAGCATAAGCTTTCGTGGGCAAAGACCATGCATCTGATGAAGTGGGTCTTTGCCCACGAAAGCTTATGCTCCAATATATCTGTTAGTCTATAAGGTGCTACAGAACACCTTGTCGCTTTTGCATATGCTAGCTTCATTCAGAGAGTCCAGCCCCAGAAGATTCTGAGCACTTCAGCAGCCCCCAGAATCTCACTAGAGATTCTGAAATTAGCTCATTTCCCTGCCTGGCATTGTCAGAAAGGCAGCAGCTCATCACCAGGGTACCAGCTGGAATGTGCAACCACAGGCAGACACCAGGAGGATGCAACCCACAAAACTCACTGAAAACTCCCAATGTCACAGAGGACAAAAGTGCAGCTGACTTGCACAAAATAGTTGCTCTAAGCAGCACTGGATGACATGGCCACACTTGCTTTATCACCATGCTCTGGTGTCCCTTGTGAAGTCAACACTTTGAAGCTCCACAAACGATCAAAATCGCATCAAAGACAAGGACAAAAAGCGTAAAGAGGTGAAAGCTGTGCTGGGTGACCAGGCCTCCTTCACGAATAAAGGGCATCTGTGACATTTGGCCTCTCAGTCCCAGGGCAGGAGCTGGTAAGCGGTGTCCTGCAGGCTCCAGTGTCTCTCAGGAGAGCCACTCAGTTGGCACCACATCCCATCACCAGCTATGCTAGTTACCCCCCTCACAATGGAATGTCCTGCCAGAAGCAACCTGCAGAAACCGGCTCTGAAGCCCTGTTATAAAAGACAAGTTTCCTACCACAGGCTGAGGCCAGGGATGGAGAAGGTGTATACTGTAAAGGGCAAGCTGTCTGTTGCACCACTGACTGGCTGGTCATTCCCATTCCAACCAATGTTTTCAGCATCAAAAGATTAAATGGATTAAAACATGGTTACATGATAATCTCACAAAGTAACGGTAAACAAGGAATAGTCATCCAATGTGTGTGTTCCTAGCAAGGGCCTGCAGAGCTCTGTTCTTGGGTCAAACACTGTTAAATAGCTTTATCAATAATCCAGAAGAAAAGCATGACACAAAAGTTGGTAAATAGCGATGGGGACAGACCAGTTGTACAGGCTGACCTGGATTGCTTGGGAAAGTGGGTTCATTTGAATAATATATATTTTAATACAGCCAGTGACGTGTCATACTCGCAACAAAGAAAGTAGGTCACATTTAATGATAGGCCACTGCATTCTAGAATGCAGTGACACAGACACGGTCATGGTAGGTGAGCAGAAATGTGAGCTCCCAGTGCAATGCTGTTGCAAAGTGGGCAAATATGACCTTAGATGTCTACACAAGGCCATACAAGTAGAAGTAGGAAGCTGGTATTACCTCTGCATGGGGCACTAGTGAGATGACTCATGTAACAGTGTGTCCAATTCTGCAGGCTGCTTTTCAAAAGGAATGTTGAAAAATTGTAAAGGGCTCAAAACAGAGCTAACAGGATGACTGGAGATCTGGAAAACATCCTTAGCTGGAAAGTGTTCAGAAGCTCAATCTATCAAGTTTATCCAAAAGAAAATTGAGAGGTGACTTGTTCATAGCCTATTCGTATCTATGTGGGGGAAAGATTTCTGAGAGCAGACAGTTCTTTAATCTAGTCCAAAAAGGCATAATGTGATCCAAGGTGGAAGGTGAAGCTAAATGCATTTAAATTAGAAAGAAAGTGCATATTTTTTACATTGAGGGCAATAATCATTAAGTCTTTAAATGAAGACTGGATCTTTCTCTAACACCGACATGCTATAGGTAAGTGGTTGATGCTGTTTACTGGGGGCCAGTTCTCTGGCCTGTGTCATACTGGGGGTCAGACTAGACAGTCTTAATAGTCCTTTCTGGGCAAAAAATCCACTACTCTATAAAATTGCTATATTTTTCTCATCAAAGGCATTGAGGCTAGAGAAGCTGGAGGTGGCTCACAACTGTAGCCATGTTCAGAAAAAAACCAAGGTGCTGGTGCATGATAGTGGGGACCTGGTTCACAGTGTTGCAGGGCAGAAGCCTGCAATAGCCAGACCACTGATTATTTTGTTATAGCAGCTCTGATCCTGTTTGTCTCTTTCATCCACCCCTTATATCAACATAAGAATGGCCATACCAGGTCAGACCAAAGGGCCATCTAGCCAAGTATACTGTCTTCCAACAGTGGCCAATGCCAGATGCCCTAGAGGGAGTGAACAGAACAGGTTACCTCGCCCGTCATTCATTTCCAATCTCTGACAAACAGAGGCTAGGGACACCATTCCTACCCGTCCTGGCTAATAGCCATTGATGGACCTAACCCCTATGAATCTATCTAGTTCTTTTTTGAACCCTGTTCAAGTCCTGGTCTTCACAACATCTTCTGGCAGAGGCTGTGCGCTGCAAGAAGAAAAACTTCCTTGGCTGTGTCTAGACTAGCAAGTTTTTCCACAAAAGCAGCTGCTTTTGCGGAAAAACTTGCCAGCTGTCTACACTGGCCACTTGAATTTCCACCAGAACACTGACTTCCTACTGTCTGAAATCAGGGCTTCTTGCGGAAATACTATGCTGCTCCCGTTCGGGCAAAGATCCCTTTTGCGCAAAGCTTTTGCGCAAAAGGGCCAGTGTAGACAGCTCAGATTTGTTTTGCGCAAAAAAGTCCCGATCGCGAAAATGGCGATCGGGACTTTTTTGTGCAAAAGTGTGTCTCGATTGGCACGGACACTTTTCCGCAAAAAGTGCTTTTGCGGAAAAGTGTCTCCAATCTAGATGCTCTTTTCCGCAAATGCTTTTAATGGAAAACTTTTCCGTTAAAAGCATTTGCAGAAAATCATGCCAGTCTAGACATAGCCACTTTTGTTTGTTTTAAACCTGCTACCTATTAATTTCATTAGGTGACCCCTAGTTCTTACATTCTGGGAACAGATCAATAGCTTTTCCTTACTCACTTTCTCAATACCTGTCATGATTTTATAGACCTCTATCATACACTCTTTTACCCCTCTCTCTTCTAAGCTAAAAAGTCCCAAATCTCTGTTCATATAGGACCCGTTTCAACCCCCCAATCATTTTTGTTGCCCTTTTCTGAACCTTTTCCAATGCCAATATATCTTTTTTGAGATGAAGAGACCACATCTGTACACAGTATTCAAGATGTGGGAGTACCATGGTTTTATATAGAGATATTAAGATATTCCTGATCTTATTTTCTATCCCTTTTTTAATGATTCCTAACATTCAATGGGCTTTTTTGCCTGCCGCTGCACACTAAGTGGATGTTTTCAGAGAGTGACTCCAAGATCTCTCTCTTGAGTGGTTCTAAATTAGTCCCCATCATTTTGTAGCCTGTCTGACATGTAGATTGTGAGCTCTCTGCAGCAAGGACTATCTTCCTCATTACTTGTCTGTACAACACCTAGTACAATGGGGGTCCTGATCCGTGACTATGGCCCTGGACCTACAATGATAGCAGCACTGCAGGTGCATTGGGATGTAGGTGAGACTGATGTGCAAAGGGAACAAACAAGGCTGCTGTATAGGGTTTCCACCCACAGGATATGCAATGATAATGTCAATCATTGCAAACTCTTGATTGCAGTATTTACTTGTGTTCCAGATGGAATTGGATCTTGAAGCCCTTAATAAAACATTTTCTGCAATTTCCGTCCAATTACCAAAGGTGCAGGTTGCAGCACAGGTTTATTACAGAGCTAAATTATGTTCAGTATCCTTGGAGAGCAAATGCTTTGAGTTCAGAGGGCAGGCATGCCCTATCAAATATTAACAAAGGGAGCTCAGCCAATTCCACTGTAAATAGAGGAGGAAAATGGGAAAGTAGGAAAGTCTTGCAACCTTCACGGAAGCTGCGGTTACCAGAAGCTGGACACTTCTGCAAGCTGTGACTTTGCTTTCTTGTAGGGGATCCAGTATTGTGGCATTGTCTTTGGTTATAAAAACTTCCTTGAGAAACTGCCACAGGAAATCCAGCCACCACAAGAAATGTTGCTGGTGATTTGGGAGGAGGCCCTTGGCCTTGTGAGTCAGTGCTAAGTTTTACTGTAATGCCAGGTGACTGTGCCGTGGGAGGTTTGGTATTCCAGAGCAGGAGAAACACTGAACTTCCTGATCAAC